TGCTCTGATTGGCTGTTGCAGGTCAGCTGGTGGAAAAGGGGAGGGCCGACCTGAGGAACCTGGCGACGCGATTGGTCGACTCGTTTCCTGCTCTTCTGACAGAGGCGGGGCTTCGTACCGGTGGCATCAGCGTCAAAACCAGCTCCAAACATCGATGTGTGAGCAGCGCCGAAGCCTTTCAGGACGGACTCCACCGGGCCTGGGACCGGACTGGACCAGGGACCAGACCGGGGACAGGACCGGGGACCACTGGGACCCAGGCAGCAGGCGGTGAGCAGGGTAAGTCTGGGTTTAGTCCTGGTTTAGTTTTGGTTTAATTCTGGTTTAGTCCTGGTCTGAACTAGGGCCCAACCGATATATCGGTTGTCTGATATTATCGGCCGATATGGGCTCTTGGAAACATATTGGCGATCGGCCTAAATCTTGCCGATCTGTGTGGATATTTCCCGTGGGCAGGTTCTATGTGGTTCTAAATCTCAGACTCTACATTCTGTTGATTTAATCCAGTTTACAGGTAAATGTGACTCCACATCAGGATTTCCTCTATAAGTGAGTGTATTGTTCGTATATTTGTGACTGGAGCTGCACTGATGTAAATGAGCTGTGAACAGAGGTGTGAATGATCAACATTTACACATATATATAATTACCGCGGCGCGCAGCATTTACGGCTAAAGGCTAACAGCGCTAGTTTACTTTCTTTACTCGCTGCTGGAATGTGATGCTGTAAAAATGTCATTTGTCCTACTGTCTGTAAATCTGACGTAAAGAGGCACAAGAACAAGAAATGTTTCCTAAATAAACACAATTTAAAATCCACCAGAGACAAACCAAAATGTTTTAAACAATTCAACAATTACAGTGAATTTTTACATCATTAAATATATATCGACAATTATATCGACAGCTCCAACTTCTGTTTTATCGATATCATATTGACCACAACAAAATCCATATCGGTCGGGCCTTAGTCTGAACCTGGTCTGGTCCCGGTCTGACCCCAGTCTGGTCCTGGTCTAAACCCGTCTTTGTGTCTCAGGGTACGTTCATGAGGTGGACGATGTTCTGATGCGTTCCTTCGAGCGTTGCCGTGGTTACGTGGAGGGGGTGGAGACAAACGCCACGGCAACGGAGGAGGTGGAGCGCTTCAAACACGGACCGGAACTCAGACAAGTCCGGACCCGGATCTCCGAGAGGCTGGGACTGGACCCGGACCTGCTCACTCCAGGTCTGAGCGGAACCAAAGTCAAAGCACATGTACCTTTTTGTCCTTTTTGTGTGTCTGTAGTTGTAGTTTTTGACCCGTTTGTCCCTCTGTTCTCGCCGTAGACCTGGTGGAGGCTGCGTTCTTCATCTGCTCCTATGAACTGGCCATAAAGTCGCTCTACTCCCCCTGGTGTCGACTCTTCACAAAGGAGGACGCCAAGGTACCAACGGGTGGTCCTGGTCTAGTCCTGGTCTAGTCCTGGTCTGGTCCTGGTTTAGTCCTGGTCTGATCCTGATTTAGTCCTGGTTTAGTCCTGGTCTGGTCCTGGTCTAGTCCTGGTTTAGTTCTGGTCTGGTCCTGGTTTAGTCCTGGTCTAGTCCTGGTTTAGTCCTGGTTAGGGTTAGGGTTAGGTGTTGGAGTAGTACTTTGTGTACAGGTTTTGGAGTAGTACTTTGCGTACTTTGCGTACTTTGTGTACTTTGTGTACAGGTGTTGGAGTAGTACTTTGTGTACTTTGTGTACTGGTGTTGGAGTAGTACTTTGTGTACTGGTGTTTGGAGTAGTACTTTGTGTACAGGTGTTGAGTTAGTACTTTGTACTTGTGTACTTGGTGTTTGTGTACTTTGTGTTAGTAGTACTTTGCGTACTTTGTGTACTTTGTGTACAGGTGTTGGAGTAGTACTTTGTGTACTTTGTGTACAGGTGTTGGAGTAGTACTTTGTGTACTTTGTGTACAGGTGTTGGAGTAGTACTTTGTGTACTTTGTGTAGGTGTTGGAGTAGTACTTTGTGTACTGGTGTTGGAGTAGTACTTTGTGTACTTTGTGTACAGGTGTTAGAGTACAAAGGCGACCTGAAGCAGTTCTGGAAACGTTCTTACGGTCACTCGATCAACGGACTCTCCACATGTCCCCTGTTCCACCACATCTTCAGAACACTGGACAAGGCCGGACGCCCCCGCAGGTACTACACTACTACTACTACTACTACTGTTTATAGTACTACTCCATGTATGTAGTGGTAGTACTTGTGTATTGTGTATTGTGTGTTGTGTGTAGTACTTGTGCGTTGTACGTTGTTCTTGTGTGTTGTGTGTAGTACTTGTGCGTTGTACTTGTGTGTTGTGTGTAGTACTTGTGTGTTTTTCTCCTCAGAGCCACGGACACGCCCCCTGAACCTGCCTCGATTCTGATTGGTCATGCTGAGACACTCCTCCCACTCATCTCCCTCTTAGGTCTATATAAGGACAAGACCCCGCCCACCGCCGCCAACTACCAATCACAACACGGTAAGAAACCGAGCGACCAATCACGGCACGGTAAGAAACCGAGCGACCAATCACGGCTCTGCAGTCCAGGTGTTTTTATTTTGAACTTTTCAAATCTTCAGGTTCAGTTTTTCTGTGACGTCCAAAATAAAGAAACACTCTGGGATTTTAATCTGTGTGTCAGTCGTTTTTCAAAATAAAACCAAAAATAAGAAAAAGAAAAAACAACGATTAAGATTTGTCTAACGGACTAAACCAGGATTAAACCAGGATTAAACCAGGATTAAACCAGGACTAAACCAGGACTAAACCAGGACTAAACCAGGACTAAACAGTTTCCGGTCCTGGTTTCAGTCCTGGTCTGGTCCCGGTCTCGGTCCTGGTCCTGTTCCTAGCCTCAGTCCCAGTCTCAGTGTCAGTCTGGTGCCGGACCTGGTTCAGTCCTGGTTCAGTCCGTTATCTGTTTTTTCATTTTGGTTTTGGAGACAAATAATGAAGAAAATCTTTGTTTTTTCATTTTCTTATTTTTGTTATTTTTGTGTTATGTTTGTGTAGTTTTATTTTGAAAAACAAACGACACACATGTCTTGAAGCTTTTGGAGTTTTTCCTGAATCTTGGAGGCGCCTCATATTTCCTCAGGACAAAAGTGTCCCGTGGTTTCACTGACGCCCCTCCCCTCGCTCTGTCGTTCTGACGCCCCTCCTCTCGCTCTGTCGTTCTGACGTTCTGACGTTCTGACGCCCCTCCTCTCGTTCTGTCGTTCTGACGCCCCTCCTCTCGTTCTGTCGTTCTGACGCCCCTCCTCTCGCTCTGTCGTTCTGACGCCCCTCCTCTCGCTCTGTCGTTCTGACGCCCCTCCTCTCGCTCTGTCGTTCTGACGCCCCTCCTCTCGTTCTGTCGTTCTGACGCCCCTCCTCTCGTTCTGTCGTTCTGACGTCCCTCCTCTCGTTCTGTCGTTCAGGTCGCGTCTTCCGCTCGTCGTTCATCGTCCCGTACGCCGCCAACCTCCTCTTCGTGCTGTACGACTGCCCCCGCGGGCCCCGGCTCCGCCTCCTCGCCAACGAGTCGCCGGTTCGATTCCCAGGACTGACCCAGGACCTGCCGCTGTACAGAGACGTCAGGGCCACATATCGCCACCTGCTGGACGGATGTGACTTCTACAAGGAGTGTGAGGGGAGACCGAGCAGAGCGCCCAACACCGAACTATGACCTGAACCGGGTCTGAACCGGGTCTGAACCGGGTCTGAACCAGGTCTGAACCAGGACTGCAATAGTGACGTAAATAAACTCAGAATAGAAGTGTAAATAAACTTTGTGCCAAAAGCAGAACTTCTGTAAAAGAAAAAAAAACAGGGAATCGTTTTGTGAAAATCAGAATTAAATCTGTATTTATGAAAAGCACAAATACCTCGGACGTGTGTCGAGTAAAAAACGACGTCGTTCAGTTTCAGATTTATATTTATACCAGTTTATAAAAACTCTTCTGATTCAGGATCAGATTGTGGTGATTTTTCACTGAATCGTCTGAAGTCTTCCACTCGAGGAAAAACTCTGAACCTCGACACGTTTCACTCACATTTATTTTCTGAAATTCTCTGAAACACTGAACATTTTTATATTTATATTTAAGGTTTTTTCACAATATTCACTTGGTTTCCTTTTTTAATTTTATTTTGGTTTATTATTTTATTTCACACACAGAAGTTTTACAGAGTCTGAAACGACGCTCGATGATTAAGGTTTTATCTCTAAATGTCTAAATGTGTGTGTGTGTGTGTGTGTGTGTGTAAATGTGTGTGTGTGTGTGTTTTACATTTAGACATTTAGTCATAAAAACATTAAAACGTTGGACGTCGCTCCTCGTTTCAGACTTTGTGGAAAGGTTCGATTAAATGGAACTTTCTCGTGTCGTTTAAAGCCACAGTGTGTAACTTTCTGGAGGCGCCGCATCACAACAGGAAACACAGCGCCATGGAAACGGGCCAAGTAAGAGTCGGGTTTGTGGAGAGGCGAGCTCGCTCACAGTACGGGCGCAGGGTTTTCTGTTTTTAGTGCAGTAAAAATCTGACAAAAACATGTTTGTGGATAAAAGTTCCATAGTGTGGCTTTAACTTTTCCGTATCCAGTAAGAACTCTCATTACTCACTGTGTCACACTTTTCTAAAACGGGTGTTGGTTGTTCAAAGTGGAGGACGCTTCTCAAACTGAAAAGAAGGGGTTTCCATGGCAACAGAAGACTAAGCCCTGCCAAAGGTCAAAGGTCAGGGTCAAATCCTCCGTAGTTTGGGACGGTTTTGTTTAGTTTTCTGAAGGAGTCGGGGATCGTCGCTGGGACCGACGCTCGGCTCTTCTCTTTGTTCCTTTTACTTGAATTTTTTGTTTTTGGTTGAAATTTTGGGTAAATTTGCTATAAATTTTCTTTGCTGTTTTATTTTTCTACTTTTTGAGACGATTTTGAGTTGATGTTGAAGTGACGTTTGACAAATGTGTTTGATTTGAGCTTTAATAAACTTCAGTGAAAGAAAATGGTGCCACTCATTTATGACGCCGCCTACAGGAACTCAAAGGAACTTTACCTTCAGGACTTGACCTTCAGTGACTCCAGGGACTTTACCTTCATATAAAGAGCCGGTGTGTTGAATGGCTCTTTGAAATGAACTGAGCCAAAAGATTCGGATCCTATTGTGATGGAAATCTGTCTTTGTGTAAATGAATGTGATTTCTGTCTGAACCCAGAGCTTCATGAACATGTGTAAAGCTCAGCAGACACAAGTGTCCCTCACCAACTGTGTTTTATCTGTCCTTAAGCAAAGGAACTTGTGATTCAATATATTATGATGCCCCACAATATTATTGTTAGATTTTTGACGATACAATATCACGATATCACGATATCTCGGTTATTGTTACATCCTTAATGTGGACCAAAACATATTCTAAACTTAGATCGATGTGTGTGTCGACGTTTGTCAGATAGAACAGCTGAACTCACTCGTGACTCGTTCTTTTACAACACAAATCAAATATTGTTGAGAAAGTTCTTCCCGTGTCTGTAGCAGAAGTTTCATAAATGTGTGACACTTGTCGGTTGCTTCACTCTTCAGTCTTCAGCTCGATGGGTTTAAGTCTGGACTCTGAGCTGCTGCTCCAGGTTTTCAAGTTTTACCATCTTGTTCTTTTTTCCTGAGGTGGTTTTGTCAGAGCGTCGACTTCTGTTTTGTTCTTTTATCTTTTTTTAACCTCTGTCTAGGTAAGAACCAAACAGCAATGTTCAGTGAACTGCAATAAAAAAAAATTAGGGTGTTTTGACCGGTAGTGCACATTTACAACATACATAACTTTTATTTAAATTCAGGTTTTACAGCAGCAACAGTTTATAAACACAGAGAACTACATTTCCCATGATTCATTTCAGCACAGACGACATGAAGAAACTTGTTTGGACTTTAATTCTTGGGATTATGACAGAAATAATTCACACCAAAATATTGTCAAGGTGTTTTAAAAGCACAAAAGTGCCCAATATCAGACTCTTCCAAATATCGTGATAATATCGCATCGAGGGATTTGGATATTGTTACATTCCTCGTCAACAGTAAACAGTGAAAAACTGGCAAACGTTTGGTGTTCTAAAACTTTTGACGGGTAGTGTGTGTTAGCACCAGCCTGTGAAACGTGTCACTCTGCTTTGATGTGTGTGCAGCTTGTATTTCTGTAGAAATACTCCGAGCTCAGACGCTCTGGAGATGGGAGATGGTTTCACACGGGAGGGACATGCGGAGGAGGAGGAGGAGGAGACGCTGTTGGTCTCTGGCCAGGCCCTGTCCATATCTGCAGGAACAATAAACTTTGTCTGTATTCCAAAAACTCATCGGGCCAAAGTCATATCAGTAAAAGTGAACAAACCTGGTGACTGTTCTAAATTGTTCAACCCCTTAAAAAGCTAAAAAATATCAGTAATCAGGTAGTCAGGCTGGTGCCCCCTAGGGTTTCCGCTCAGTTTCATTTGTCTCCAGCTCTAGATCAGGAATCAGAAAACACTTGACGGTTTACGAAAACCATGGAAATGTGAGTTCAGGCACCAGCCAATCAGAGAAGAGACAGACATTCTGTGTTGTCAATGATTCCCCAGATCCCCGAGGATTTAAAGTCTTGTTCAATTTGATCTCGGGGAAAGACGTTATTGTTCTTCTTCCTACAGGATTTGGAGCTTTACAAACGTCACGACCAAACAGCAGCGATTGGTTCAATAAAAAAAGCACAAATCCTAATGCTGCGAGGTTTGGCAGTTTCCACCAAGTGAAACCGACTAATAAATCAGGCCAATGATCAGCACCAGCCAACTCTGTTCTACTGTAGTTTATACTGAGACTCAATGTCCCATAATCCTTTGCTCTGCTGTGGTTTCCTGGTCACACAGACCTGGAGTTGTTAATAGATGGAAGACGAGACCTGAGACGCTCTGATATGCTGAGCTCTACTGTCGTGTCGAACTGTGTCGAACGATCTCTAAACTCTAGAACTGAAACGATTTAAAGCTTGGGATATTTTTATATAAATAAGTATATTTATTTTATGTTTTAAATCTAGAGAAGATCTGCCAGGACAAACATCTGCACAAGAATAAATCTACACAAGAGAATCTGAAATAAACAAAGGCAAAGAGCGAAAATATGAAACAGGTAAACAGATGTTACAGATGAGGAGAGAGTTCATCCTGACTGTGGCTCTTAGTTCATGGATCCAGTGAAACTCGTGTCGTAGAAGGTCCTGAAGACTCGTGTCGTAGAAGGTCCTGAAGACTCGTGTCGTAGAAGGTCCTGAAGACTCGTGTCGTAGAAGGTCCTGAAGACTCGTGTCGTAGAAGGTCCTGAAGACTCGTGTCGTAAAAGGTCCTGAAGACTCGTGTTGAAGACTCCAGACCTGGAGCTGTGTTTTGTTTCATTCACATGTTTCACACACAAACCTGCACATTTAACACGAGTTCTTCTCTCAAACTGAAAACACTCTGTTCCACCTTGTGATGTCGTCATGTGGTGATACAGAAAGTGCTCCATTATGTTTTTAAACTCCACACACCTTCACTAGAATCATCTTGATGATTTCAGTCCCGGAGTTGTTGTTCTCTCACTTGTGTAAATTACACAATAGTTGTGAGAAATAAAAGAGCTCAGTTTTATTTAGTGAATGATTTCAGTACGGCCCGCCGATTTTAACCTTTTTGTGAATGTTTCATTCTCTCACGGAGTTGTATGAATTACACTTGTATGTGTAATCAGTTTGTCAGTTATCACACTCACAGCATAAGTTTGCATGAGCTTTGTTTTGAGTGTTAAGAAATTCAGTGTAAGTGATCTCAAGTTTTAGTTTGAATTTGATGAAACTTGTAGCTTCTAGTTAGATAAAGTTTAATGAAGCTTAAAGTAAACTTTGTGTTTTGGGCTAAAACTGTCTCTGTGTTTCAGACGTTTCCTGTGATGACGTCAGCAGAGGGATTCTGTTCTGTAGAAATATTTACTGTATTTTCAAGTTTTCCAGTTTTCTCACAAACTGACAGTAAAAGTGAAAATAAAATCTGAGAATGATTTACAGGATTCTGAAAGTGCCCTGTTGCCTGGAGACACTGTTTAATGACAACATCTTTTAAGACTTCTTGTATCTGTGGTAATAATTTAAGTTTATTGTTCCTTATGAGAATCCAGTTGTTTTATTTGTCTTAAGCTTAGTGACCTGTGAATCATCCTTATGAAACATCTGCTGCTGGTGTCCAACCAGAAAGTATCAATCTAAAGTTCAACTAAAATGTTGAAATCATAAGAACTAGATTTTATTTATTAGTCGTAAACTGTTCAGTGTTTTCATGTTCAGTTTGCTTTAATGAAAATGTTTAGGAGAAAACAAAATAAATCAATTCTCAGAAAATAAAGATGTTCATATGAACGATATCGAAGGCTTTTCTCAGGCCTCTCTATAATAGGCCGGGAGCCAGGTTCACCCCTCAGGATGTTTTTTTGCTCCTTTTTTGTCACTATTACTTCCTGTTCTCTTATATCTTGGACCATCACGAGTTGATGGGACCAACCTCAACTCGGTCCCGTTTGGTCTCAGGGCCCAAAAAACACACTTTTTAAGAAAAGACTGGGTGCTTGTGTTACCATGTACTGTTTGTGACAACATTCATGAAACTTGCCTCCTTGGCAAAAAGATCAACTCCTCTGATTTTGCACAGCAGGTCTTCATCACTTAGTTCTAGAGCTTTTTTCTCAAAATGTTTGTATACACTTGATTGGAAGCTGTATCTCTTGCCGGACACTTACTTCACTGCACTATTACTGCAGAATATGCAATAACTCCTGAACAAAACTAAAGAATCCACATGCTTACGTTTCTGTCTCATGGAGACATTTTCTTGACAGCATTTGCATTTTGGAAAAACATGGGTTGACAGCTTTTATGGTTGCCACAATCCAAAGACAATTCATCATTAACTGATTCAACAACATCTTGCTAACCAGCACCATCATGTTTGTGTGTGAAGTTTTTTTCATATCATGAATCGCAGTAAATGCACTCAGTGGATCAGTCTTAGAAGACCAAAGTATGAACTTATCATTTACTGTCTCCTTGTAACCATGCAGGCTGCAGTTTGCAGAGATGCTGAGGTGGAGGTTTCTGTTTTGAAGAACTCGGACCAGCTGTCCAGTCTTCATCATTTTGTCGTTTCTTTGCATGTTGTCTGCTTTCAGTAGTATATTGTTGCATTACACCCCCATTACACTGCATTACAGTGTTCAGTGTGAAAATATACATGAACTGAGACCCAATATTTCCAATTTCATTGAAGTTTAGTCTCAAACAGAGATTTCTTACTGATGATATTACGCACACACACACACACACACACACACAACACACACACAAACACACACACACACAACACACACACACAATCACACACACAACACACACACACACACACACACACACACACACACACACACACACACACAACACACACACACACACACACACACACACACACACACACACACACAAACACACACACCACACACACACACACACACACAAACACACACACACACAACACAAACACACAACACAAACAAACACACACAAACACACACACACACACACACACACACACAACACACACAACACAACACGCACACAAACACACACACACACACACACACACACACACAAACACACACACACAAACACACACACACACACACACACACACACACACACACAACACACACTAACCAACCAACATCTTGACCCTTCATGCAAAATCCCATCAGAAGTAATTTTCCAAAAAACATTTTGAGAGAAGTTGATACATTTTTCTGGTTATAAAAAGAGATTGAGTCTGTTGGGAGTTTGGTGTTGGTCCTTTTTCGGCCTCCATGACTTCTAGACTGAACATGAACTATTGTCACATTGTTAGAAAACAACAACCAACCCAATGGAGCTACTGATGAGAGTAGAGATGGGAGACAAAT